AAGGAACCTCGGAAGCCTTACGCAGAATTCTTAACAAGGCAGGAATAAAAGTGGCTGGCATTCAAACCACCACAAACTCAATTAGAAACAAGCTTTGTCGGTTTAAAGATCCTGTGGAGCCTTTAAAACAAAACAATTTAGTTTATCTAATACCCTGCAACGATTGTCAGGTCAAACTAGTAGAACAGGGGCAGTCAGACTAGCCGAACATGAAAACCTAGCAAAATCTAGATTGGTTGACCCGAATAAGATAAGAAATCTACAGAATAGTTCAGCTATAGCACTCACTACATGCAATTACACACAACCATACAATGGGATGGATGCGATAGGAGACAGTTTTAAAATCTAATGTAACAGGGTGGAGGGAGAGATTGATAACAGAAGCTTTGTTTATCGAATCAATTGCAAATACATGTAATAGGAATGATTCAACACCTGTCCACCCAGATATCTGGAAAATTCTACTATCCCTACGACGACAAATAGGAGAGAACAAAGAAAACTATAAAACTCAAGTTTCAAAGTCGTGTGATTACAATTGATATGATTATGAACCGCAATAAATTTTGTTCGAAACCTTGTCATCCAGTAAATAATAATACTGTTTCGCTGTGTGATGCATCTAATAAACAAACTGATATGGGACTACACGAATTGTTAAAGTTCGCGTTAGCAAAAAGTGATATGATGAACTTTATATAGAAATCAATCATCTATAATAATCTATTCAAAAGAGAGAAAAAATGGGGTGGGTAAGAACTGTTCACTGAGGTAGTTTGAGAATAACAATGGAATCTTTCTAAATACAGAAGTGACTCTTAATTTTCCTGAACTAGAATCACAATCTGTTCGTCACACAACGAAACATACCATCTAATCTCACCAAACAAGAATATGAAGCAGCTTAAGAAATTTGAAGAAAGACAAAAGCATCGTTATAACCAAAGTCGACAAGGGAAACGTCACTGTGATAATGAAAAGAAGGCGATTGAACACCTATCTGAAGGACCATACGTACTCATTGAAGAGAAGAAGAAATCCACCGAATTCAACAAAATGAAACTAAATACAAACAGAGTCCTTCAAGAAATGAAACCCAAAATTGGAAATTCTCTCTGGTTTAAACTAAAACCAAAATCTTATGTACCTTCAAGATTCTACAGTCAACCAAAGATACATAAACCCACAGTTCCATTAAGACCAGTAATAGATTTCACCAACTCACCGACATACAACCTCTCTAAATACTTACTCTCGGTACTACAACCACTACAAAAGGACACTCAAAATATTGTAAAAAATTCATACGATTTCAAATCCCAAATAGAACATCAAGAAATTGATAAAGAAGACATTATGGTAAGCTATGATATTAACTCATTATATACTAGTATCCCTATTACCGAAAGTCTTGATATCATTTCCAGTCTGCTAGAATCAGATACAACACTATCACAAAGATGTCCACTGGACACCAGTGAAATAATTAAGAGCTTAAAATTCTGTCTGGAAAATAATTATTTTACATTTAAAGGGAGTTTATATAGACAGACAAATGGTGTTGCTATAGGTTCACCAGTCTCCCCAATAGTCGCTGACCTTTTCATGAATAGATTCGAAGATAACATCTTTCCAAGCATACTCACTCCTAAAATATAGTTAAGATAAATAGATGATACTTTTGTAGTGCTAAAACTAGATATACACAGTTCATTCCTGGAGAAAATAAACTGTCTATCTCCCAGAATCCAGTTTACTTCGGAAGCAGAATCAGACGTCGTTGAACTACCACTTCTAGACTGCCTACTTAAGAGGAGGGAAAACGAACATTTTAGTATATCCATATTCAGGAAGAAAACCCACTCCAATAAATATTTAGACTTCGGATCATCACACCCCATCAGCGCAAAGGTATCAGTTGTTTCAAGCCTTATAGACGACCACACTCTCTGATAACGGATGAGGAAGAAATAGAAGAAGAAATATTAAACATTACTGAAACTGCTCTCTGAAAGTAGACAGAGAGCAGTAAATTCTCAAAACCGAACGAGAAAAATAAGACTGAATAACTGAAACTCTCAAGCAAAACAACTACCCAAGGAACTTCATCAACAAAATCAACACTGACATTAAGTATGGTCGAAAACGCATTCCAAAAATATGGACCTCAACAGTTGTCATTCCAGATAGAGCAGAGACGTCGGACGATATCAGAAGAGTACTCAACAAGCCCGACATCAGAGTTTTCTTCAAAACACCAGACACACTGCGAAACAACCTTGTCCATATAAAAAACCAAATTCCTAACGATTCTCTATCTAATTGTGTCTATAAAATAAAATGCTTGGAATGTGATGCGATATACATCGGACAAACATCTCGAGAAATCAAAATCAGAAGAAATGAACACCGTAGAGCATCTGTTCGACCACCGAGAAATCCGGTTGAACTAGAAAAACTTGAAAAATCATCAGCCATAGGTCTACACGCTATAGAATCAGGCCACAAAATTGATTTTGACAATATTGAAATAATCCAGAAAAAGCATTTCAGAAATCACAAAGAACGTCTAATATCAGAAGCACTTCATATCATCAAATGGAATCCAAATTGCCTGAATATGAATGATGGACTAAAACAGAATCTGACCTGGTTACAACACCTCCCTCCCCCATGAAGTGACAAAATCAACACGAATGTGATAAGCAAGTTCACTATGTAAACACACACTGCTTTTATAATTTTACACACTTATCAAATCCAACAATCTACACTTGATTTTGTTATCTTTACCAATTGACCAACTTGACAACGAAAAATGACCCCATACTGACGAACGATGATCAAGTTAGTAAACTTTATTTTGATATCATAACAGATGTACTATTACCTTTGTTATTTGGTTTAGTGATCTTCATTGTTATTTTGACTTTCAATATGTCCTTTTAACTTGACCTAAGTCTATTTCCTCACCTCTTAACTCTTTGTTATATATAAGCTGAGTGGATTTTGTAAATTCTGGTTTAATAATACTTTGATAAAGCTATTAGCAGCAGCATTAAATAGCGAAACATCAGTAAAAGCAACAATATCGTTTTATTTTTCATTCATTGGGAAATACAAAAACCTTTATTATAATGAATATCGTATACCCAAAGCTCACATTTTTTCAAACTGTTAAAAGTGAACTTGGTTTGGACACATTTGGAATTCTACTGATTATTGATAGTATTGAGTGAACTTTTATCAACAATTTTGTCCTCCTAAGGAAATGACTTCTTGCTTGTAGCAATCGGGATTTTACCATATTCTATTAGATGACTATTACTATTTCCTACTGATGTACTTACTTCTTCAAGGTGAACACTGGCTAGAGTAATATGAAGTGATGCAAGGTAGGTTGTTTACCCACTTCAGTTTGCGCTAATGAAGCTTCACGTATTCACCTCAGTAACTGACGATTACGCTATAGTACCAGTTTCAATGGCAGAACACAAGAGTATTTGACAACGGAATTATCTATTGGCAATTCGATTTATAGATATAGGCAAAATACATCTAGCATACATCAGAATCACAATTTGCACATTATCTTCGGTGATATGCTTCCTTGTCTTCCTCTTATGTTGTTTCACAAGCATCGTTCATTCCTACTCTTCGCCATTAAATTCATCTCTCTGCTATTCGATATATATTTTTTGATTATAGCTTGATTCCACACAGTATTTTTGGTACAAGTATGGAATTTTCAGCATGTGATATCGGTAGCCCAAATTTTGCAGACCGACCATTAATATCAGGTGTGCGTCGGCAGGGGATCGAACCCCGGACTATGTGCATGGTCGGCGAGAGTCCTAACCACTGTGCCACCGACGCAGATGATGCACATATTTATGCCTGTATCTGCACTACTGCTTATAAATCTTGTCAACAGCACACGACACACTAGAACTATCAAGGTAGCCTATCAATATTCGACAAATTTATTTTAATTTTACTCCTCCTAGTATTGACTGGTGAACTGTAGTCAATTTTGAATCTTGAAATATACTGCCTCTTAATAGTTCAATTTATTTAGGTAAGTAACTAAAAAGAATGTACATAACACACCATATTTCCTGAGAAGTTTATTGTCATTACTCTGTTCATGTGATATCCGGCTATCGACCAAAGGGCGGGTGTACTGCTCAGCAGTCCGCTCCATCCTCCTTTATAGCTGTGAGACCTGGCCATTGAGAGTGGAAGACATAAAAAGATTAGCTGTCTTCGATCATAGGTGTCTGCGTTCTATCTCCCGTGTGAAGTGGTACAATAAGGTGAGCAATATTGAGGTTAGGCATGGGTTGAGTGCTAGGTAGGTGGGAGGGGAAATCAATCGACGAGGCTGTGAAATTACATCGAGTGAGATGGTTAGGACATGTGTTACGTATGCCTAGTCTAGCCATCGCCTTCCTCGACATAGGGTCACGCTGGAAAAGAGCTAGCGGCGATTAAACCAAAACATGGCACCAGTCAATGAAATCCACAAGTTAGTTTAAGCCAGTCACGTAGGAAGATGTAGACTTCCTGACTGGTTAGGGGCCTTGGGACGGTAAACACTAATGGCTGGAGACAATCGGTGATATGGCTCAAAGTGATCGTTCTCAATGGCTGGCGCAAATGCATCCATCCACTTCTTGTGACTTATGATTTCCAATGAAACAATATTGTTCTTCGTCATTACTATTCCTTTGTCTCTCACCTCTGTTTACTGTCTATATTATGCATTTCTCCTACTTTCTTCTCTTGCTTTGTGTGCTACATGGAGGGAGTGTGGCGACTTGAACTGCTGCACATCGGTGCAAAGTTCTATGTCGAAAATAGACAGACAGACTCCGTTCATAGTATAAACAGCATCAAGCAACTTCTCACTGACGTATCAATATTTCGAATCACCTGTGAAATAACATTTACGAATAGATAGTTGAGATATTTAGTTTACTGGTAAAAGCATAATCACTTGGAAGAATTTATTCTTTGTAAGAAAATATAAATCAGTATAAATATATACACATTTACAAGCTGCTGTTTAATAAAGTTGTTTTTTTCTTTCATTTGATATCTTGAAGTTTACGGAGACCCTAAAAGCAGTGAAGCAAATTATATTATTATTATGTGAAAACTTACTTCTAAAAAGAGTTTAATTTGAGCCTTTATAGAAATCGCCTTTTTCTTGTACAGATTAGCGCGTTCATTCAGGATAGAAACACGTGATTCAATCAACTTTAAAGCTTCTGCATGACTACATTCAAGATAAAAGCCAAGACCGATATCAACTGCAATAGGTTCAAGAGAATGACTACAATATTTAATATTTATATATATAGTACTGTATTCTTACATGATTCCATTTACATAAATATTACTTCCCACATTCACTTTTGTTTCTAAATTAGTTTGAGGTACGTCAATATCTCTCATCTTTTCAATGAGATTTTTTAATTCTAAGTATTCAGATATTTGTCCATAGATTACATCTCCAGCATCTAAAGTTTTTCTAAGTAATAAGTTTGCGACATAATAATTTAACAGTACTTTAAATCTTTCTTTAATGTCTCGTTAACATGTTCTTCAATCTTTAGTATACGTTGATCCATCCGGATGGTCACTGGGCTACTAATATTTTATGAGTAGCAAACCTGAAGAAAAAAGTGATGATAAAATGGGGGGGGGAGGGGAACTTAAAAGTTCAATAAAAAAGTTTACAGAAATTAATTATATTAAGTTGAGGGCGAAAATAATAAAATATGTTGACCAGTCTATGAAAACTGTGTAATAAAATACTAACAGGACACAAAATCACAAACTGGACCAAAGTCAATATTTACTTGCGGAAACATTATGCTGCAAGGCTGGGATGCGTGAACTCCTTATTGGAAGTGTTCAAATTAATTAAATACATTCCTGAAGTATTTAACTTAGGATAAATATGCAAAAATAGAGGCTCATAACTTTAGACAGATTTGCATTGGTTACGCAGTCGACTATACGGTAACCACAGCTAAGTGAGTAGGATGATTCGTATATTATGCGGTTAGTCAGTGTAATCATTTCAACTTTGATTATGTATAAATATGAAGACCGATACAAAATGTCAATTATTTATTAGTGAAGCTGGAAACAAGCTATGTGAGGTCTCGGAAACCTATGTTGCCCATAACTCTGTTCATAAGTCCAGTGAACACGTAGGTCTTACAGTATGCTATACGAACGTTTGTAGTCTTAGGAATAAGCTTCCTGAACTAGGAGTGTTGTCTGAAGAACTACAACCTGATGTGATTCCTATCACCGAAACATGGTTGTTAGTGGGTGTAGACTTAACTCCACTCATACTTGGAAACATCTGCATTAGAGCAGACAGAGTAAGTAGTCGGGTGACATACGAATTAGATCAATGTTATTGGAAGCTCATGACAGCGGTACCAGTGAAGCCGCAAGCTGCGTCATTAACTTGAACAAGGGCACTGTGATAATTGAGGTTCTTTATAGAAGTCCTACCAGCCAAGCTGACGATTTCGTTCTAAATCACCTCAGGACGTGGAGCAGTAGGAATAGGTGTCTAACAGTAGGTGACTTTCATGCCCCACATTAATTGGGAGGAATTAACATCAACTACTTCGTACAATTTTTTCAAGAGGGAACTCATACTGGCAGTGCTTGAATGCGCACTTGTGCAGCATATAGATGCCTCAACACGATACCACCCTAAACATGATACGTCCACTCTAGACTTGGTACTAACACACCAAAAGGAGGATATCAGTGACATTAGGTGCCTGGCGCCACTAGGCAGTAGTGACCATATTTTTACCACTTTTATGTTTAGGATCCACGCTGTCATACATAGGTCAACAGCTGCTCTTCCAAACGTTTGGAAAGCGAATATACCTGCAACCCGAAATGCAGCAACCCTAGTTGACTGGTCTGTTAATACACACCAGACTATCGAAGAGGCTTGGATGGGATTTAGGAATACACTAGATTGCGTCACTGCACCCTTTGTACCTTGGTGTACGCCTCGAAAAATATCGTATAAACCACCTTGGATTAGTAATGAAATAAGGTTATTAAGAAAACGAAAGAAAGACCGGTTTGCTGTGACTGGGAGGGATGAGTTTCGGATGGAATACCGCAAAATTCGATACCTTTGTAGATAAAAGATTGACAAAAGTCGTACAAAGTATGAGAGACAGTTAGTACTGGATTGTGTGTGTGTGTGTACTCGTATACCAAACGCAGGACTAAAACTAGCAGTGGTATACCGTCCCTCATTAGCAATACTGGAGAGGCGGCTGAGTCAGACGAAACAAAAGCTGAGAAGCTCTCCGAATACTATTGCGATGTTTTATCTCCTAATCGTACCACTCATGGGTGTAGCGAGGTAACTGATGTAGCCACTAAAATGCCCACAATTGTGGTAGATGATGCAGTGGTTCTGAAACTACTGTCTAAGTTGAAGCCAGGTAAATCACCTGGACCTGACGGACTTCACCCTAGACTGCTAATCTCCTTGGAGGATATAATATTCATTCCACTTACAGAGATTTTTCAAATGTCTTTGACCCAGGCTAGGCTACCCAGGGACTGGAAAGATGATTTTATAAGCCCCATCTTCAAAGATGGGAACAGGCAGTTAGTATCTAACTACTGGCCTGTAAGTCTGACCTGCATTATGGCAAAGGTGTTAGAATAACTCATAAGGGACCAGCTCTTAGCTCATATAGAAAAACATGGCTTACTGGCAGTGGAACAGCATGGATTCAGACCAGGACGATCCTGCTTGACAAACTTACTTCTAGCTGGGGAAGATTGGGTCGAGGCCAGGGATAAGAACCATCTACTGGACGTTTTCTTTATCGATCTTAGGAAAGCATTCCATAAGGTATTCAATTTAGGTCTCCTTAGTAAACTTAAACGTTTTGGATTAGATCAACGCTTATGTGGTGAACAGAAGGCAGAAGGTAAGGGTTAATGGTGTACTTTTAGGGTGGAAAGCAGTAATAAGCGGAGTACCTCAGGGAAACGTACTTGGCCCCAGCTATTCCTATTACACGTAAATGAAGTGCCGAAAATTCTTACCTCATCTTCCTTACTATTTGTGGACGATATTAAGATATGGAAAACCGTAAATAGTAACGATGATAGGTTGGTACTGCAAAACGATTTGGATAAGTTAGCCGAATGGGCTAACCTTTGGAATCTGGAAATTAATTTCAAGAAAAGCGCGGTAATGCACCTAGGTCAGAAGTCTTACATGTCGTACTCCCTGGGGGACACAGAACTGCCAGATGTTAGGGGACAAAAGGACTTAGGAATTATTGTAAGCCATGACTTAAAAACAACGGCAAATTGTAATCGAGCCGCAGATAAGGCTTTTCGAATGGTATGGGCACTTCGAAGGACTTTCAAACGATTAGACGAGGGTATGTTCTAAGTACTCTATGCAACATATGTCAGACATCATCTTGAATACTGCATACAAGCGGTGAGTCCATGCTTCAAAAAGGAGGCACATATTCTGGAAATAGTACAGAGGGTAGGAACGAAATTAGTTAGTGGTACCTCACACCTTCCTTATGATATGAAGCATTTAAATCTACTCCCATTATCATACCGAAGGAGGAGAGGAGACTTAATTTTAACTTTCCATATATTAAAGGGTGATTTAGGGATTGACTTTTTAAACCTCTTTTCTCCCTCTAGGATACATTTACGAGGTCACCACAAGAAGGGCCCAGATGGGAAGTCTTCTAGACTGGATTACGTGCTCACTAGTGACCAGCTACTAGTGGAAAACGTTCAGATCACGACTCCCATAGGTAGTAGTGACCACGCGGTCATAACATTCGACATAGTCCTCCGCGAGCGTTTACAGTGGGACAATACACAGCCCTATCTGTGTTATAACAAAGCCAATTACACCGAAATGCGAAGACTTTTGTCTGAAGCAAATTGGCCAAAAAATTGGACAGAGCTAACAGTAGAACACTGGAGAGTGGTAAAGGAGATCATTCACCAGGCGATCTCAGACACTGTTCCTTTGGTCACACCTAAAGCTAGAAAGCAACGTTCATGGCTAAAAAGGGGGACACAACGCCTTCTACAGGCGAAGGGAAAAGCCTGGTTTGCGTGGCGAGTATCGCAGAGTCAACCCGAACATGAAGAGTACCTCGAACTCAGGAATCGGTGTAACATACGAGTCCGGAGTGATAGAAGGACATTTCAGAGAAACCTCGCCAATAAGCTTCTCGTGAACCCCAAAAGCCTATACAGGTTTATGTCTGAAAGAAAACCGACCAACCAGGGAGCTTGCAATATAGTGGGTTCTGATGGGAAATCTCTTACTAGTCTTGAAATGGCAGAGACATTCAGTCTAGCCTTTCACAGGCAACTGAACAGTAACGAGGATTTTACCCCCACAAAACATCAAGACTACAATGCAAGACCAACGTGCGAAAACCTGCTGGGTACATTTCAAATTACCCCGGCTATGGTACTCGTAAAATTGGGAAAGTTGGCTTCGGGAAAGTCTGCAGGTTGCGATGACATAAGACCATCCGTCCTGAAGCAGTGTTCAGAAAGTCTCTGCCAACCCCTAAGTGATCTGTTTCAACACTCCTTTGATGTAGGGAAACTTCCATGTGAATGGAAACGAGCCATCCTATCCCCTATCTTCAAGGGTGGTGACCGACAGAACGTGACCAGTTACAGACCAGTTGCGCTACTCCCAGTGATATCGAAGATATTGGAAAGTCTCATTGACGACCACATGAGAAAATACTTCGACGGGACTAACCTACTCCATGAAGCACAGCACGGTTTCAGGAAGATCCTGTGTGACGAATCTTCTACTAGCTTGGAACGATTGGACACTATCATGGGATGTAAAGGTACCAGTCCATGTGATCTTTCTCGACTTTGCGAAAGCATTCGACACAGTTCACCATGGTCTGCTCCTTCACAAAATAAGCAAAGCGGGTGTTTCTGGAGCACTTCTCGCATGGCTGGAAGATTATTTAGGCGAGAGAGAATTCTGCACCAAAGTCAACCGCATCCGATCATCCTGACACACCTCAGCATCAGGGGTTCCTCAGGGTTCTATCTTAGGGCCGTTGATGTTTTTGATTTTTATCAACGACCTGCCCTGTCAACTGAATTGCTCTGCGCTTCTCTACGCTGACGACGTAAAGATTTGGAGAGCAATAAACTCATCGGAAGACTCCGATAGATTGCAGGCTGACCTGCAAACGCTGGGAGACTGGGCTCTGGCTAACGGAATGCCTTTCAACTTAAAGAAGTGCAACTTCATTCCGGCAGGTCACAGAGTGCAAATTACACCCTTGGTGGCCAGAACTTGAGTTGTGTGCCATCAGAACGCGATCTAGGCCTTATTTTAACAGAAAAGCTAGACACCAGTGTAAATTACACGAGGGACGTCGCCAAAGCTTACGCCACTTTACACTTTATGCATAGGCAGCTGGGAGCTCTTACTCCTGAACTATTCCTAACTTTGTATACGACACACGTGCGGCCACTCCTTGAGGTGCATAATATCATTGCTCCTCCGCTACTCAAAAGGGATGCTAACATGCTAGAAAGTGTCCAGAGACGAGCGACAAAATGGGTGATCGGCCTCCGCAACAAATCATATGAGGAGAGACTGAAGAAACTAAGTCTTTTCACACTTAGTTACCGTAGTCACAGGGGAGACCTCATCACCGTCTATAAGATCTTAAATGACCAGGCCCATCCTAATAAGAGCATCCTGCCATTAGGTGATTATAGGCTTCCACGAGGTAACCCGCTAAGGATAGCACACCAGAGACCAAAGACTCGAGTGCGTTCACATTTCTTCTCGCTTCGAGTTTGCCGCCTATGGAACGCTTTACCGGCGGCCGTAACTACAGCTCCATCTGTGGAGACTTTTAAGCGGAAGCTGGACAATCATGCAGAAATGCATGGTTTGTGTCTCAATGGCTTACCCTCTTAAAATTTGAAACCACATTGTCAGTGGATAAGCATACAAGCTAAATCCCCACGACCCGTCTTGTCTTCTCCCACTGTACCGACTAGTCTATCTTTTCTTTCTTTCTTTATTATTTCACCTTTATTATTTCACTTATCTCAACCTATATTATCTACACTACAACCTACTATTATTATTATTACTATTCTACTTTTATGACTATACCGAATGACCAACGGGTGTTAGGTCAAACTCCATTCACGGCAGCAGCTGAGTCCTAACATACTGCACAATACAAACCACAATCTTGACCAATCCTCGCACCACTCCTCTTGGAGTCTACCAGAGCTAAAGTAGTCGAGTGGCGGGATTTACTACGCATAAGTTCACCGAAGATCTGGAACCTCTACCTTACAATCAAGAAGCGAGCTCAAAGAAATCACTGGTTTATACTAGCTCGTAATCAGGATATTGGATATTGGAAACCGAGGTTGAATAAAACACGTGTGGAATTTAGATTCTCTCACAGAGTGGTCAACGACTGGAACTCCTTACCTGATACAGTAGTAACAGCTCCATCGGTGAACACTTTCAAAGAGAAACTGGATCTCTGCAGAGATATATATCGCGAGGATTAACATAGGCAGCAAGGCTAGCCTTCTATCCTTACAATCTGAAAGTACTAATAACGGCGCAAGAGAAAATTCGTTGCATCACAATGCACAGAGGGGCGCAACAAGTTCAATTTCGATATGATTTCGACAACTCTACTTCTTTTACCTAATAAGTCCTAATATTTGTCATCACGATACTTGACCTAGGAAAGCGGTTAGGTGAATACTCTTGAAATTTGTGAAGCAATACAACAGCAAAAAATTACATTTAAAAATATTAAAAATGAAAACCCCTTTTAGGCGCTAGTATTTAACTATCTACATCTCAGTAGCAATTCGTACAAATACACACCAGGCGTTCCAGTAGCGCACACATTAAAAAGGTGCGAGGTGTTATTGAAAAATTGATTTGGTAAAACAAAAAAGCGATGTTTTTTCCATGTCCTTCCACTCAGTGAATGAAAATGTCAGTGTAGTGACTCAACTCTCTGTTTAACAGTTGATATAGTTGTCTGAGTGTTGCAGATATGATAATGCACATTAACAATGGTTATGCTTCATCTGAAGGACATTTTGTAAAATATTTATTTTTATTTTATTTATTTTTATTTTTATTTACAGCTTGATTCCACACCGTATTTTCAGTACAAGTATGGAATTTTCAGCATGGATATCGGTAGTCCAAATTCAGGCCGACCATAGATATCGGGTGTGCGCCGGCAGGGGATCGAACCCCGGACCATGTGCATGGTCGGCGGGAGTCCTAACCACTGTGCCGCCGACGCACAGTTGCTAAGCCTTCAGGCGACACTTAACGAGTACAAACTATGCACCCCTCCTCTTCTGACTTGAAAGAAAGTTGATACTGTTCTTCGTAATGCTGTTGGTGGAAAAAAACTATATAGACTGTTTGTTGATGAGTTATCTAAAAATCGTATACTGTCCGAAAATGGCATAATGTGAGAGTGATGAAATCCGCAGATTTATGAAAAATCTTCTCGAAAATATCGGATATGGAAACTGCATTTTTCCTGATGCGGTCCGAAGATATAGAACGTCTTTCGGCTTCGAAATTTTACATCTCAGGCTTTTTTGGATTGATTATCAGGGTAATTTGTGACCACTCACGCCCCCAAATCTTGAAAATGGAGGATTATATTTCTGAAATCCATAATATGTCTCTATGAATTACTGGAATTTCAGCAGTCATTCTGTTTTGCTTCTATTAACTCTTACGATTATTTGTAAGAAATACCAGTATGCATGCAGTACTTTATCCATCATATTTCAAATCATCCTGAAGAACAAAGGTCGTGCTCAAGTTTGTTTTGATATGTTAAGTGAGAGGACTTATAGCAGTGACAGCTACATAGGAAGTTTTTGATAATAAATATAATAAACCTCCATGAAATCTGAGCACTACTCCTTGAACGCGCGGTGCTGTGGATGACTAGAGAATTTTGTCAAATCAATCCAACCGTCAGTGATTAGTTTGTTTGTTTGTGTGGACAGTTGGATCTTCAAGGGAAAACAGCTCGGTGGCTACATTGCAGTATGACTGTGTGTCGCTATATCCTCTTCACATTATCTTCACCCCTTCACTAGTTAGGGTGGTGTTAAGAACAGCGTTGCAACAAGATCAGGTGAGCCAAGCTAAAGAGTGCATAAGTAACTTGTCCAAAACTCAGTTCTAGCAGGATTGATGACTAAAAAACAATCGTGAGCGTTATTTCTAAGCGGAGCCAACCGAAAGCTGGCCGGAAGCCCCATTGGTTTCCTAAATTGGAACTAGACCCTAACAAATCGATTAATGGTTGGTCGAAATATTTGAAGCATAGTTTGCTGTCTTTAGAGTAGGTGTAAACTGGCTGATTTTATTTCACACTTACCGACAGAGTATTTCTGAATCTATCCTTATTACTCTGAAATTTCTTTGTAAGCACACTTGGTCTGTCTACCTACGGACGTGGGTTAGGATAAGGGTATTTTTCTCGTGACTATACCCTGCACAAAACCACTTTTGAATGGATGAGACCTATGAGTTTCATAGCCGCATCAGATACTGACTGTTCGCTAGCTGCTTGGCGCTCATTAGTGAAAAACGAAAGCCTGCCGAAACCGAGCGACATTTTTGCAAGAATACCATTTTTGGTACATCGTTTCGCAGCATATGAAAACAGTAAAGTTACCGAGGATTCGTTTCGAGGTGACTGGCAGAAAATATAAAAAGTGAATAGGTTTATTAAAGGAACCCCAGAAAACTCCGTTTTGAAATTGATCCCTAGGGCGATTACTGTTAGGTCATGAAAGCCTTTCATTGACGTCATTTCCTTCCTTTCGGTCCAGCAAGCTGCCACTTATAAAAGCTTGTCGATACTGCTGAGCCACCATAAACTTGTTCTGGAGCCGCTATGATTTAAGGTTAAACGAAAATATGTCTTTATAGTCACCTTGTTTTTTCATTAGTCACATACAGGCCCGCTAACTTACTTCATAATGTTGTTTCATCAGCAGCGGCAGTGAAATTTTTTTTTGAACTACCAAGGAGTTTTGGTGTGAATCTGTTTTCCCACAAATAAATTCATTTTGCTCTCGCAGCTTTCAGGAGCAGTTGAGACCTTTCCATTTTTCTTCTAGGGACGAAAAATACTCAGTCATTTGAAGAATAGCGATTAGAAAATAATTTTTCTTTGCGTTCAGAGTCGAACGTAATGTGAGCATAATCGCTCCCTAATTAGATTCAGTTTATTAATTATTTATAGTTGGGGATTTTATAACGATACATCTCAATATGGCCTGGAGGCGATATAACATATTCTCTAACCATGTGTGTCATTTGAATAACATTAAACTCCGTATCAACTAATGTCGCAACAAAACAGAAAAACTCTTCCGAGAAATAATTGGCAAATTTATTAACATTTCAGGCTTATCTAAGCAAACCAAGCAATAAGTGTGTGAAGTAAGGTTTCTGTATGACTTAACTAATCGTTTTATCTTCTCTCTCCCATATAACTTTCATACCTTTTTTCCAATTTTGCTTTTGTACTGGTTTCCTGAAGATTACGAGGATTTGTTTATTCTGCACATTTAGACTGCTAGATTCGGACAAGACGAAAACGCTTAGATCCATATATTCAGTGGTGCTTAGTGTTGACCAGCTATCACTGGTTAGTCTCAAGCTGTTACTTTTCTTTTGCAGCACTACGCTGTCCGAGCGTATTCATCCACTATCCTGTATTTTAATGATACTAGGATGTGATAAATAATCAATTTTGATTTCGGTCATTCTGAGATTATTAACCACTGGTCTTAGACCCAGCAAGCTGTGACATGATTGATGTGTGATATACAGCATTCCTGGTTATACATCGTAAATCTTTAAGTAAATCATGCAGCTCTGAATAGATCTAAGAGATATGTTGAGAGATATATAGCGCTATCGATCACCATCAGAGTTTTCATTCGCGTAGCTATATATAACTTCCTAAAACTCATTTTCACCTAGAACATGTGACTTAATTGGAGCATGCTGGTATCAACAGGGAGGAAGATTCACCAAAACGGCTGATGTAATCTGATGTTTAAGCGAATATGTCTCACCTCCCTTTCATTTGATATAACTTGGGTTGGAAATAGGGTCGCTTGTAGTAGTATATAATTCTCCAACACTACGTGTTTACAGAATTATTCAATGAACTCTGGATGCTGACCCTTACTGTTTTAGTCGACTCGTCAAGCTGAAGGTACGCAGTGAAGCATATCCTGCATTCGGCTGGCTGTTGTGTTACCTTCGTTCGTTCCTGCACGAACTCTAGCAAGTTAAGCAATCATCACTCAACTCTTCTGATACCGGAATACACTTCATATTTTATATGAATCATTTAGTGCTTTGATTCCTCTGTCTCAGTAGAACAGTTACTTTGTGAGTTTCTACAGGTCTGGTAGTGTTGTAGATAAGCTAAACTATGCCAACTCTATTAAATGGAGTTTGCCTGGTGTTCGATAGATAGCTCAGTGGTAACGTCTCTGACTGCAGTACTCACTTGGTGACGCGGCTTCGAATCTCAGAAGGAACATGAGTTACTTCAAGGCTGCAGATACGCCTTGCTGACTGGTGAATGCCAACTAGCACGAAACCTAGGTCAGGCGAGGCCACCCGTGGCTGATTGCCTCCAACCATCTAATATCATCAAATCAATGTGCACCGTGATGACGAGCTACCTAGAATTGTAACCACATTGCAAACCTGACTGATGGAATTCAGTCTGCACCAAAGAAAGGACTAGACACATCACATTAGTTGCTAGTATCCAATCAAAGATCAGTACTCTACCTATCTTATAAGCACTGTTGACAAGACGCAAATTGAAAAGACTCTAATAAATAGTAATGGCGTCTTTAGAACAGTATATTTGAATATAAGAAGAAGTCAAGATAATTCTTTACAAACTGTGTAATAAATTATCTAGTTTGAAAGGCTGTTAAACCGACTCAGAGAATATAACTGTCCATTACATAAGCAGAGAGCGCAAAAAGTAGCGTTAGCACCAGTATGTACGTGTATAATAATAATAACAATAATAATTTGCTTTATTCCGAAACATTAATAATGTTACATTGTGGAATTTTCAGCATTTGGTACAATATTGCATCTAGCTCTATCGAATAACATTATTAACAATTATAAAAATAATGTTGCAGGATTGTTAACGGCAGCTCTTATTTGGTATATATACAAAAAGAATTGTAAATAATAATAATGTCAGTGCCTAAGATTGTCAGTTAATTGAGATAGTGTCACCAATGAATACAAATAGGAGATAATAGAAAAGCCAATTATTTTGCCAACAACATAGTAATTCGTTAAAACAAGTCTTAAACATTAGAATATGTACTACAAGTCGGAGGATGGAAACTTGCTTCTGTATAGAGAGTAACTTGCGTAATCTTCCACATCATTCATCTCCTGAACACAGTTAAAAAGTTTCACTATCCTCCGGTTTCAATCTCATACGGTCTCAAAAGCAGCTAAATTCAGGCAAATTTCAATAGCATAGAGGACCTAAACCAGGGTTTCTTAATCTGAGAGGCTGTATGACATTCTCGTCATATTTCGCAAATTTCAAATTTGTAGAAATCTCCCTCTCGTAAGTGGGTGAATTTGTAAACTACTGTGCTGTTTCTAGAATCACCCCGAGAGTTACAATTGATGATAATTCGAAGTGCCACAAATATAGTTCGCACTGTCTCTGGTAGTTTAAGTACAGATAATTCTCTGAAAAACACTAGTTTTCATAATCTCTGAAAGCGAACCTCAGGAATAATCACTGACTTTAGGTACAGAGATATGACAGTAAATATATTTGTGAATTTACGGCTGAAAA